GCCACCACACCCAGATAATATTTTTGTATTTTAGTAGAGACCGAGTTTCACCATGAGGTCTCGAACTCCTGACCTCAAATGATCCACTGCCTCAGGCTCCCAAAGTGCTGGGATTACGGCCATAAGCCACTGTGCCTGGCCTAATTTTGGTATTTTTTAGTAGATAGTGGGGTTTTACCATGTTGGCCAGGCTGGTCTCAAACCCCTGACCTCAAGTGATCCTCCCACCTCAGCCTTCCAAAGTGCTGGGATTACAGGTGTGAGCCGCTGCTTGCCTGGGCAGTCAACTCCACTCTTCAACAGGCATGGATGCCTCATCAAACAGACAATTAATGTTTTGTGCTCAAAGAGGCTGTGAAGTAGATCAAGCCCTGTAAATCAGCCTCTGACTGGTATTCTGACAGCCAAGCTTTTAGCAAACTGACTCTTAACAGACACCTTCTGATGAACTGTTGCTAAGATCACCAGCTGCAAATGCTTACCTGGGATGACCTAGCCCTGTAATAATCTCCCCCACTTTCAGTCTCCTAAGCAGCAGATTGGGAAACTGGTCCCTGAAATTGCAGCTGCTAAAAGTGACACCTAATATTTGTGAACAAGTTGTAAGTATACATTAAAATCCAACTTTGTTTTCTTTTTTTTTTTTTTGAGATGGAGTCTCGCTCTATTGTCAGGCTGGAGTGCAGTGGTGCGACGATGGCTCACTGCAATCTCTGCCTTGCAGGTTCAAGTGATTCTTCTGTCTCAACCTCCTGAGTAGCTGGGACTACAGGTGCATGCCACCACACCCAGCTAATTTTTGTATTTTTAGTAGAGACAGGGTTTCACCATGTTGGCCAGGATGGTCTCGATCTCCTGACCTCGTGATCCGCCTGCCTCGGCCTCCCAAATTTGGTGCTGGGATTACAGCCACCGCACCTGGCTGTAAAATCAAATTTTTAACCAAGATTTCAGATTGATCTGTATGCCACGTTTATTCCACATCATTTCTCATTTATTCTAGACACAAATCTAGTGTTTTGTGCATAGCAAATAGTGATAAAGTGAATGGGAAAATTTTTTAAATCCTGGAGGTTTATTTATTTATTGAGACATAGTTTAGCTCTTGTCGCCCAGGCTGGAGTACAGTGGCACAATCTCGGCTCACTGCAAACTCCGCCTCCCGGATTCAAGTGATTCTCTTGCCTCAGGCTCCTGAGTAGCTGGGATTACAGGCACCTGCCACCACGTCCAGCTACTTTTTGTATTTTTAGTAGAGAAAGGGTTTCACCATGTTGACCAGGCTGTTCTTGAACTCCTGACCTCAGGCAATCCGCCCTCCTCAGCCTCCCAAAGCACTGGGATTACAGGCATGAGCCACTGCACCTGGCCAGGTCTATTTATTTTTAAAGGACCTTAGGAATCACCCTGCTCAGGGTTCTCAACCTGGAGCCCAGAATAGGTGTCAGCAAAGTCTGTGGATGTCCTGAGGTTCTTTTACAGCATTTAAGTACGTATCTCCTTGCACATTTTTCTGTAAAAGATTCATTAGCTTTCTTTGTATTCTCAGAGGGGTCTGTGTTCTAGTTTAATATACTTACATTACCAGATGAGGATGCTAAAGTTAATGAAATCAAATGGATTCTCTGATAGCACACAGTAAGAATTCACTAGGAATTGGCCGGGCATGGTGGCTCATACCTGTAATCCCAGCACTGTGGGAGGCCGAGGCGGGCAGATCACGAGGTCAGGAGATCCAGACCATCCTGGCTAATACAGTGAAACCCCGTCTCTACTGAAAATACAAAAAATTAGCTGGGTGTGGTGGGGAGCGCCTGTAGTCCCAGTTGAGGCAGGAGAACCTGGGAGGCGGAGCTTACAATGAGCTAAGATTACACCACTGCACTCCAGCCTGGGGGACAGAGTGTGAGACTGTTTCAAAAAAAAAAAAAAAAAATTCACTAGGAATTTATGTTATAAGCAAATATTGGCTGGAGGCAGTGGCTCATGCCTATAATTCCAGCACTTGGATGGCTAAGGCAGGAGGACCCCTTAAGGCCAGGAGTTCAAGACCAGCCTGAGCAAAATAGTGAGACCCCCCCCATCTCTACAAAAATAAAAATAAAGGCCAAGCGCAGTGGCTCATGCCTGTAATCCCAGCACTTTGGGAGGCCGAGGCGGGCGGCTTACTTTAGGTCAGGAGTTCGAGACCAGCCTGGCCAACATGGTGAAACCCTGTCTCTACTAAAAATACAAAAATCAACCAGGCATGGTGGGAGGCACCTGTAGTCTTAGCTACTCAGGAGGTTGAGGCAGGAGAATCACTTGAACCCAGGAGGCAGAGGTTGCAGTGAGCTGAGATTGATTGCACCATTGCACTCCAGCCTGGTGGGCAACAGAGTGAGACTCTGTCTCAAAAATAAAAATAAAAATAAATAAAAATTAACTGGGCATAGTGACATGTATCTGTAGTCCCAGCTACTCCCAGCTACTTGAGAAACAGAGGCTAGAGGATCACTTGAGCCTAAGAGTTCAAGGCTGTAGTGAGCCATGATAGTACTACTATACTCCAGCCTGGGCCAGTATCCTCAGGACTATTAAGGACATGAAAAACAAGGAAGACTGAACAGACTAAAGCAACATGACAGTTTTTTTTTTTTTGAGACGGAGTCTCACTCTGTCCCCCTGGCTGGAGTGCAGTGGCCGGATCTCAGCTCACTGCAAGCTCCGCCTCCCGGGTTCAGGCCATTCTCCTGCCTCAGCCTCCCGAGTAGCTGGGACTACAGGCGCCCGCCACCTCGCCCGGCTAGTTTTTTTGTATTTTTTAGTAGAGACGGGGTTTCACTGTGTTAGCCAGGATGGTCTCGATCTCCTGACCTCGTGATCCACCCGTCTCGGAACATGACAGTTAAATGCACTATAGTATCCTGGATGGGATGCAGGAACAAAAAGAGGACATTAGTGGAAAAATTGATGAACTCCAAATAAAGTCTGGAGTTAATAATAATGTACCAATATTGGTTTCTTAGTTTTGGCAAATGTACCGTGGTAATGTGAGATGCTAACATTGGCCATCTTTGCAACTTTACTATAAATGTAAAATTTCAAATGTTAAAATTTCATTTAAGAACTATTATTCATCTTAGTTTTTTGCACTGAGTCTCACAGATATTACACAATGTGAATACGATTTTGTCAGCTGAGCCAGACCAGCCAGCTCTGGTGGTCATGATGAAAGAAGGACTGGCCATTCATCAATATTATGCTCACTTGCATTGATTTTTCCAAAACCTATGTTGAGTGTAAGAGAAACAAACACGAGATTCAATACAACTGAGTTAGACATAATAGCACAAGCATGAACCCCTGAATGAGGAGGATGAGTTAGGGGTGTCATGGATCCATGCATATGCTTGGCCTTTGAACCGCAGCCCACCTCTTACACAAAGCCATGCCGTGACTTTGGGTATCATCTTTTCTTTCTTCTTTTTTTTTTTGGGGGGGGACAGAGTCTTGCTCTGTCACCCAGGCTGGAGTGCAGTGGCACAATCTTGGCTTACTATAACCTCCGCCTCCCGGGCTCAAGAGATTCTCTTCCCTTAGTTGGAGTATAGTGACGCCATCACAGCTCACTGTGACCTCCACCTCCCGGGTTCAAGCAATTCTCCTGCCTCAGCCTTCTGAGTAGCTGGGATTACAGGCGTGCACCACCATGCCCAGTTAATTTTTGTATTTTTAGTAGAGCCAAGGATTCACTATATTGGCCAGGCTGGTCTTGATCTCCTAACCTCAAATGATCCACCTGCCTGGCCTCCCAAAGTGCTGGGATTACAAGCACGAGCCACCGCGCCCTTCTAAACTTTAACCTGCTTGACCTTAAAATAAGGATAACATGCTTGATACGGTGGCTCATGCCCGTAATCCCAACACTTTGGGAGACCAAGGCAGGATGATCACTTGAGCCTAAGTGTTCAAGACCAGCCGGCAATATAGTGAAACCTCATCTTTACAAAAAGTTAAAAAATTAGCTGGGCATGATAGTGCATGCCTATAATCCTAGCTATTCAGGAGGCTGAGGTGGGATCACTTGAGTACAGAGGAAGATGCAGTAAGCTGAGATTGCACCACTGCACTCCAGCCTGGGTGCAGAGTGAGGCCCTATCTCAAAAATAAAGGATAACAGAAGTACCTGCCTCAAACAGTTGTGAGAATTGCTCAGGATAGGACCTTACAGAGCTTGTTATAGGGCCTAGACGAATTTGATAAATTGATATCACTACTATTTCCACCACTAAGGAAAGAAAAGCTTTACTATAGATCTTGTCTCCATTGCCCGTAAAATAAAGCCCAAATTCCTTAGCATGACGTCTAAAGCCAACTATATCATATGTGAGTAGCTTAATTTCCAGCAACTATTCTTCCCACGCCCTGAACTGCAGCCCCAGTGAACTTCCCAGAGCTTTCATACCCATTTTCTCTGCCTCAGTCGTCCCTGTAGCTCATTCTTCATGACCTCACATCAGTGCCCCTTCTCTGGGAAGCAGTTCTTCACTCTCCTGTGACGTTCCTTGTCCCTCCCTTCTGTACACCCATGGAAGCAGAGCTGTCCCAGTTATAACTCATCACCTTGTACTGCCGTTGTTTACCTACCTCGCACCTTTGCTAGGTATAAAAATCAGAAGATCAGAAGTCCTTACTACTTCATCTCCCCATTCTTCTGGTGCTTGACACGTCGTTGTTATCCAGCAAAATGGATGAATAAATTGAATGAATATAAACAGAAGTACTGCAGTTGCTCAGAATTGTTTTGGAGAATAACTGATGAAAATTTATCGTTGGTTTTTATTTATTAAAACTTCAATTAGTTCATAGGAATGAACACTGATATTATCAGATGATATTTACTACTACTTTATTTACTGTTTATCTATAAAATATTTAATATAATTCTTTGAGAAATTTGATCTTGCCTTTCTTTTAGATTTTAAAAGGAGTCCACTGGGCTTTTGTTTGTCTTCAAGGTTCCAGTTACAGCCATCTCTTGTCAAAATTTTTGAACTATATTTGGAAAACTACTGGCCAGGAAAGAAAAATGATAAAATTTTTCCTCATGGTGAATAAACAAGGGCAGACTCGACTTTCTAAGTACTATGAACATGTGGATATTAATAAGCGTACACTTCTGGAAACAGAAGTCATAAAGAGCTGTCTCTCTCGGTCCAATGAACAAGTAAGTCTCTGGTCCTCTCCTTTATCTCTGCATTCAACTCGGCCTTGGTAGATTTGTTATTACTGAGTCTCAGGGGCCGTCATTTTCTTTGATCTATATTCCTTCAACAGCTACTAAGGAAAATAAGAAGTGATGTGAAATGAAAAACTGAAAGAAGCATAGCTCTCTTTACATCCCTTTAAGAAAATTAAACCAAGGAAAACCTGGAAGAATCTTGGGTTCTTGGCCGGGCGCGGTGGCTCAAGCCTGTAATCCCAGCACTTTGGGAGGCCGAGACGGGCGGATCACGAGGTCAGGAGATTGAGACCATCCTGGCTAACATGGTGAAACCCCGTCTCTACTAAAAAATACAAAAAAACTAGCCGGGCAAGGTGGCGGGCGCCTGTAGTCCCAGCTACTCGGGAGGCTGAGGCAGGAGAATGGCGTGAACCCGGGAGGCGGAGCTTGCAATGAGCTGAGATCCGGCCACTGCACTCCAGCCTGGGCGACAGAGCAAGACCCCGTCTCAAAAAAAAAAAAAAAGAATCTTGGGTTCTTATTTAAGTCAGCATATTTGTCTCAATGCACCTTGGAAACGACAATAAAATTTCCTTCTGCTAATAGACACCTCTTCTTTTTTCGTTCTTATGAATTCAGCCCCTGAAACTCTCATGAGTGCCTGTAGCAGGTTGCTTTCTATAAGCCAAAAAATGAAGATCAGATGATTGGTATAGAGGTAAATACTGAAGACCCATTTTGTGCCAGAGGATAATATTATTCTCAAATGGGGTGGTTTTATTCTGCTTATTATTTCTGTAAATATACCACCAATATAATGCTGAAACCAGTGATTTAAAAACAAAACAAGTTTGATTTCATTATCTAGGTGGGGAAAATGGAAATTAAAAATTCATATGAAACAACACATTTATCAATCTTCCAAAATGGAGATTAAGGCTGGGTGCAATGGCTCACGCCTGTAATCCCAGCACTGTGGGAGGCAGAAGCGAGTGGATCACCAGAGATAAGGAGTTCAAGACCAGCCTGGCCAATATGGTGAAAAATTAGCTGGGCGTAATTATGCACAACTGTAGTCCCAGCTACTGGGGAGGCCGAGTCAGGAAAATTGTTTGAACATGGGAGGTGGAGGTTGCAGTCAGCCAAGACTGCTTCATTACACTCCAGCCTGAACAATAAGAGCAAAACTCTGTCTCAAAAAAAAAAAAAAAAAAAAAAAAGAGGTTAAATAGGAATTTTAAAACTGAGTCCATTTTTTTTTTTGTTTTGTTTTTTGAGATGGAGTCTTCCTTTGTCGCCCAGGCTGGAGTGCAGTGGCGCCATCTTGGCTCACTGCAATCTCCGCCTCTCAGCAGGTTCAAGTGATTCCCAGGTTCAAGTGATTCTCCTGCCTCAGCCTCCCAGGTAGCTGAGATTACAGGCATGTGCCACCACGACCGGCTAATTTTGTATTTTTAGTAGAGACGAGGTTTCTCCATGTTGGTCAGGCTGGTCTTGAAATCCCGACCTCAAGTGATCCACCCGCCTCAGCCTCCTAAAGTGCTGGGATTACAGGCGTGAGCCACCACGCCCGGCCCCTTGAACAAAATTTTTATGAAGAATTTTATTTAGAGAATTACTTAATCCAGGTCCTAAGCTTGCCAGATCTATTGGAAATTACTCAACAACTGAGGGAAAATCAGAAAACTTGTTTAACTCATGCATTTTAATCTTGTCAGTTCTCCATTTCACTGCATAGTGGGCTGCCTGTGAGCACCACTGCTAAATCATAAAATATTAAGCTACATCAGTGCTCAAAAGTAACATGGCACAAACTGGCATCTAAACTGATTTTTCAATTGGGACATCTCAGAGTTCCTCTTTGAATTACTACTTTGGCCTGCCATGGCACACACTGTTTCATGGTGTCAGATGGAAACAGAAACTTTTAAAGGGCTGTGTTAATAGCCACATACTTTAAGTAAAAGTAAATACTCTTAGAAGCATTCCTGTTTGAACCTTTCTGCAGAATGCAGGCACTCAATTTCAAACATCATTTTCACTGATAGGTTACCCTTTGAAACGAAAGCTTTGGAATGAATATACTGTTAGATACTTTTGATGCATTCTAAATTATTTTAGATTTTAAAAGGAGTCCACTGGGCTTTTGGCATAATCAGGTACCAACGTAGCATAATAGCAGCTTAGTTTTTATCCATAGAGGTGCTTTGATACTTTTTTTTTAATGTCAGAAACTCCTGAGAGGCTTTGAAAAATGTTCCTCAGTTCTTTCAAAAAGGTTGTGTTTCCTTGAAAGATCCAGCTGAGCAGAGATCACACTGGCTCTACAGTGAGCCAAAAGCTGCAGAATGCTTCTGTACTCATTACCTTTATCCTAATTTTAAATAAAAACCTAAATTCCTTCATTTTATAGACTGTCAGATGGCTTTCCCATAGAGGCATTTCCATGGTCAAAACTTGCAGCTTCATTCCCAGGTACATCCGGGCACCCAAGAGCAACACATCCAGCACACCCTAAAATCCAGAAGAAGAGTAACACTGTGCTTCTGCCCACTCTCCACCTCCCATCCACTCAGCGCCTTCCCATAACTCTTTGTACAAAGGTGATAGGAAAGGGATAAATGAGATGGGAGTTTTATCCATGTGTCAGTGGTGGCAGGCTAGTTATTAATTCATACGAAGCAATGTTTACAATGCGAGATTTTGTCTAGCATCTGCCACAAAAAGGCCATCTTTAAATGATTTATAAAATAATCTACATAGATTCTTTTCATGAATCTAGGAAAAAGCAACCAATTTTTGTTTGTTTGTACCATGTATTTGGCTCCTCAATGACTATTAAATAGTACAAAACCGAGAATATCTAATTGCTTCCAAAAAAGTCTTGGGGGGGGCCGGGCGCGGTGGCTCAAGCCTGTAATCCCAGCACTTTGGGAGGCCGAGACGGGCGGATCACGAGGTCAGGAGATCGAGACCATCCTGGCTAACACGGTGAAACCCCGTTTCTACTAAAAAAATAAATACAAAAAACTAGCTGGGCGAGATGGCGGACGCCTGTAGTCCCAGCTACTTGGGAGGCTGAGGCAGGAGAATGGCGTGAACCCGGGAGGCGGAGCTTGCAGTGAGCTGAGATCCAGCCACTGCACTCCAGCCCGGGCGACAGAGCAAGACTCCGTCTCAAAAAAAAAAAAAGTCTTCTTTATCATGTTTGCTTATTTTCACTTCAGAGGCACTTTGCTGATTATTCATTATCTTTGCCTGCTGAGTTCCACACAGAGCCAAGCAAAGGAATGAGAAGGAGTGTAAGTGGGAACCCATGTGAACACTCAGACTTTTTTCCAAGACTTCTCCAATTTCCACTAGAGATACTTCCAAGTGGTCCCCTGAATATTGTGAGAAGGCCACCAGTGGTTGTGTAACATCTTAATATTTTATATTTCTAGGAATGTTTGTCAGATGAATCAGAACCTAGAACTTATGCATGCCATTTTAAATAACTCTCTCTCAACAACAGGAGTTAATATCTCATTGTGTTTTGTCTAGTGCTCTTTCATTGAATATAAGGATTTTAAGCTGATATATCGGCAGTATGCAGCTCTCTTCATTGTGGTTGGAGTTAATGACACTGAGGTAAGATAATAGAAGAGCCCTTGGAAAATGCAAGAATTTCTTTCTACTTGCCTCCCTAAGAATTATGAGTCTCTTGATTTTTTTTTTTTTTTTTTGACGGAGTCTTGCCCTGTTGCCAGGCTGTAGTACAGTGGCACGATCTCAGCTCACTGCAACCTCCACCTCCCAGGTTCAAGCGATTCCCCTGCTTCAGCCTCCCAAGTAGCTGGGATTACAGGCACATGCCACCACACCCGGCTAATTTTTTGCATTTAGTAGAGATGGGGTTTCACCATGTTGGCCAAGATGGTCTTGATCTCCTGACCTCATGATCTGCCTGCCTCAGACTCCCAATTTATTTTTATTTTTATTTTTTTAAGAGACAGACTAGCGTGCAATGGCACAGTCATAGCTCACTGCAGCCTTGAATGCCTGGTTTCAAGCATCTTCCCATCTCAGCCACCTGACTAGCTGGGACTACAGGCTCACACTCCCAAGCCCAGCTAATTTTTTTGCTTTTATTTTTTTTAGAGACGGGTTCTCACTGTGTTGCCCAGGTTGGTCTAGAACTCCTGACTTCAAGCGATCTTCCTGGCTTAGCCTCCCAAGTAGCTGGGAATACAGACACAAGCCACTGTGCCTTGGCTAGGATCTTGGTTTCTAGCAAGGATGAGGAAAGTTGTGTGGAAGAGAAATATCTAGGATGTTTCTTGGATTAGATGAGGAGCTTGCAAAGTAGAGAAGCCCCAAACCACAGAATGCCTTTTTCTGTTGTAAGCAATACGAGTGCCCTGTCCTTGTTCTCTTGAACAATGAAGCAGCTCAGATAAGTATAGAGACCAACTGATTTTGGCATTAAACATGGGCTGATATATCAAAAACCAGTGAAAACTATAAAGATGATTGTATTGTGATTACATCCCCTCAAATTTATTTAGTTCACCCCTTCACAAATGCCACTCCCAGATCAACAGCACTTATGGACATGGAATCCCTGAAAGGATGTTTTACATCTAGCTGAAATATTGATTTGTTTTTTTTTATCCATGAACCAAACTTTGAAGTGGTTTTCCCATCTCCACAGATAGAAAAATGATGGCATGAAGAACCTGAACAATTGGTTAAACCAATTTGTGGTAAAGTCAGGAAATGGAGCTAAGAACTCTAAATACTAGACACTAAGATTTTAATCTGGCTAGATTTATCATAGACTTCAAAAAAAAAGATTCTTTTGGAGACAGAGTCTCATCTTGTCACCAGGCTAGAGTGCAGTGGCACCATCTCGGCTCACTACAACCCCTGCCTCCTGGGTTCAAGCGATTCTCCTGCCTCAGCCTCCCGAGTAGCTGGGACTACAGGTGCCCACCACCACGCCCAGCTAATTTTTGTATTCTTAGTAGAGACAGGGTTTCACCTTTTGGCCAGGATGATCTCGATCTCCTGACCCTGTGATCCACCTGCCTTAGCCTCCCATAGTGCTGGGATTACAGGCGTGAGCCACCACACCCGGCCTAAATTTTTTAAGACAGGGTCTCTCTCTGTCACCCAGGCTAGAATGCAGTGGCACCTTCACCTCTCACTGCAGCCTTGACCTCTTGGCCTGAAGTGATCCTTCCACCTCAGCGTCATGATCCCGAGTACCTAAGACTACAGGCTCATGTCAAGATATCTGGATATTTTTACTTTATTTATTTATTTATTTATTTATTTTTATTTATTTTTTGAGACGGAGTCTCGCTATGTCACTCAGGTTGGAGTACAGTGGCACGATCTTGGCTCACTTCAATCTCAGCCTCCCAGGTTCAAGTGTTCCTCCTAGGTTCAAGCAATTCTCCTGCCTCAGCCTCCCATGTAGCTGGGATTACAAGCGTGTGCCACCATGCCCAGCTAATTTTTGTATTTTTAGTAGAGACGAAGTTTCACTGTGTTGGCAAGGCTGGTCTTGAGCTCCTGACCTCAAGTAATCTGCCCATCTCGGCCTCCCAAAGTGCTAGGATTACAGACATGAGCCATTACGCCCAGCCTATTTTTAAATTTTTTGTAAAGAAGAGATCTCATTATGTTGCCCAGGCTGGTCTTGAACTTCTGGGCTCAAGTGATCCTCCCACCTCATCCTCCCAAAGTGGTGGGGATTACAGGTGTGAGCCACCACGCATGACCTTTTTGTTTTTTAAGACAGGACCTCGCTCTGTTTCCCAGGCTGGAGTACAGTGGTGCCATCATAGCTTACTGCAGCCTTGAACTCCTGGGGTCAAGCCATCCTCCTGCCTCAGCCTCGTGAGTAGCTGAGACTACAGGCATGCAACACCATACCTGGCTAGTTTTTTAAATTTTTTGTGGAGACGGAGTCTCACTATATTGCCTAGGCTGGTCTTGAACTCCTGGCCCCAAGCCATCCTCTCACCTTGGCCTCCCAACTTGCTAGGATTACAGATACGAACCACCAAACCTGGCCAAAAAAAAATCCTAGAGGTTAAGGTTTATCTACATTTCCCCTATTGATAAGCATCTTTTAAACAAGTGAGTACAGAACTGTTCCGAGTATTTGTCAGTGGGAGGCTACTTTCCTCACATTATCAGTTCACTAAAAGCTGGAAGCTGACTGGGATGTTCTGTCTGATTTGCATGAGGGCCACACTAAAATTGATTCTACCTTTCTTCTTTTATTTTAGAACGAGATGGCTATTTATGAATTCATTCATAACTTTGTGGAAGTTTTAGATGAGTATTTCAGCCGAGTGGTAAGTCTAATGGCTAAAAAATGGTTTACTTCCTCAACCCAGTTTCCCAGAAATTGAGTCTCTTTGGACCTATATCAAGAACATGTGTTAATACAGAGTTTTAATAAGTAAAAATTAAAACTTAAGTGATGCCAAATTTTCTTTATCTTTCCTGCTGGTTTATCCAAAGTATTACAGGCCTATATATGCCTGAGATCTTTATAAAGAACTGGAAAAAAAAAAAAACAAAAACCCTCTTACAGCCGGCGCGGTGGCTCACGCCTGTAATTCCAGCACTTTGGGAGGCGAGGCGGGCGGATCTGAGGTCAGGAGATCGAGACCATCCTGACTAACACAGTGACTAACCCGTGTCTACTGAAAATACAAAAAACTAGCCGGGCGAGGTGGCGGGCGCCTGTAGTCCCAGCTACTCGGGAGGCTGAGGCAGGAGAATGGCGGGAACCCTGGAGTGCCGGAGCTTGCCCAGATTAGCCTGAGATCGCGCACCTGCACCTCCCGCCCTGGCCACAAGAGCGAGACTCATT